ATTCATTCATTCAACATTAATTCATTGGGTAACGGACACTGACAACCAAGAAAAAGAAAAAGAAAAAGAAATTGAGTCCCTGTCTTAATGGAGTTTCTATTCTAGTGGGAAAGGAACAGAAAATAAAGAAATATATATAAAATGTGCCAGTGGTGAAAAATAGCCAGCCAAGGGGGAAACAGAGTGTGTGTGTGGGGGTGAGGGGAGGTTGGAGGGTTTGTTGTTTTATCAGGGGTAAGGAAGGAAGGCCTCTCTCACAGTTCCCATTTGAACTGAGATCTAGAGGAAGTACGAGAGTGGGCCATATGGGGGAAGAATATTCTAGGTAGTGGAACAGCAAAAACAAAGACCCCAAAGCAGGAACATGCTGGGTCTTTTTGGGAAAGGTCCTAGAGATAGAGAGCAGGGCTAGGTAATGGAGGCCCTTGGTAAGGATTCTGGGTTCCATTCTGAGAGCAGTGGGCAGCCTGTGGATGATCAGTGCTTTAGGAGTCTAGGGAAGGAGAGAACATTGGGTATCAGAGGTCTCAGAGCTGATTTCAAAGTGGGCCTGTAAGGATCCAATAGGATAGGCAGAGCATAGCATAAAGAGAAGACCTAGCAGGAGCCCCAGCAGGAGCCCAGGCAAGGAGCTTTAAAAGGAGACCTTTTTGTGGGTCAGGTGACAGGTGAGCACTGACTGAGCTGGAGTTCTACACTGGGAGAGTGCTGGGGATGAGGTAGGACAGGCAAGATTTGCCTGAATCATGGAGAGCCTTGCAGCCAGGCCAAGGAATTTGATATTCATAATGTGGATTCCTGGATGCCACAAGTAGTACAGTGATGACTCCAAAGTTTCTGTCTAGGAATATTTTGGGGATGGCTCCCTGGTCAGAGATAGGAGTGATGAAGAGGGGCTGAGGATGTGTCTTAGAGCTAGCAAGTAAAAGGTTTTACCTAGATTGCATGTTTACTTGAGGGTGGCTTTGGGGTAGGGGTGGTGGTGACGATTTGCGGTCTTGCCCTAAAGTGACATCGTGTAGCAACCACACTGTTCTTACTTGGATGACATTCTATGTGGGGCCATTAAGGGGTGGGGGACAATGAAAAGTAGGGAGCCTAACCCTTGGCTCTGTCTTAGGAGAATGAAAATTACATGATGAAAGCTGTGACTTAGGAAGTTTGACAAGAGTGAGTGTGGAGAAGCATTCATTCATCCATCCATTCGACAGTTATTTATTGAATGCTCTAATGGGCCAAGTGGCAGAATGGAACTTGGATATCCCTGAGTTCAAATCCTATTTCTACCACTTACTAGCTGTGTGACCCTGAGCAGTTTTTATTTAATCTCCTAGAACCTCAGTTTCCTTATCATTAAAATAGCAATAACAATATCTACCTTAGCAGTTGTTGTGATTAGAGATAATGTGTATACAGTGCCCACCCCAGAGCCTGGCGCCCAGTATTATGTGTTCAACAAATGGTAACTCCTACTGGTTTGCAGTAGATGGGGGACACTGGAGGCAGGAAGCAGTTACTGTGGCAGCAGAGATTTGCCACAAGGGCCTCCATTAGGGTGAGGGTGGGGACTGTAGAGCAGGGGATAGTTTTGAGAGGCTTCGAAGACCAACTTAAATGGAACTTGGGACCGGAAGGACAGGGTGCATTCAAAGATAACGTGAAGGTTTTCAGCACCCCCAACACACACACACACACACACACACACACACACACACACACACACACAAGAGCGGTAACTGGGAAGAAAGTGGACTGGATAAGAAGTCACAGTTGAGGTTGAATCTGTGGTAGTAGCCAAGTAGAGATAGTCTCTAAATTTGGGGAGTTACAGTGGGTTTCAAGAGTGAGACCTGAGCTAAGCAAATGCATTTAGTATAATCATCGCTGTGACAAAGTACTAGTCAGGATATGAATTGGGTTGCTATAACAAAGACCCCAAGGAACAGTGGCTTGTGTAAGAGAGAAGTCAGAGCAGAGGTCATTCGGGGCTTTCCAGTCTCTTATCTTGTTGCTCCATCTTTACTAATTTGTTGTCTTCATTCTTATGGTCCAAGATGGCTTCTCTGCATGCCTGCATTCCATCCAGAAGGATGGAGAAATGGGGGTAAAAGTGGGCATACCCACTTCTCACATTTCATTGGCCAAACTTTGTCATAGAGCCACACCTAGCTGCAAAGGAGGCTGGGAGATGCAGCCCTCTTCTGGGAATCCAGATTCCTAGCTACAATTCTATTATTTTGGAAGAGGTGTTCAGGATGGCTAGCAATCTTTGCCAAAGCAGTATTAAATAAAGACCTGAGGATGGGTGAGATCATGGAGAAAAGGGGTGAGATAAGAGTTAGGAGGTGGACTTTAGGAAGACCCTCTGTTATGGCAATGGGAGGGCTTAAGAAGTTAACAAAAAACCATAGAGGTTAGACCAGCAGGCAAAGGAGGCTGGTGTCGGTTGAGGGATGGGACAATGGACAGCTGTGTCAGATCCTGCAGGGTCCAAGGGAATTGGATTGGTGATTAGTGACTCACTAGGGAAGGTTCTCAGTGGTGAGGGCTGAGGGCAAGCAGAGGCCAACCTGCAGAGCGGGTAAGGCTTAGACGAGCAGGGGCAGTGGGTGTGGGTCCCCCTGGAGAGGTTTGGCAGGCAGCTAGAAGGACCTCGGAAGAAAGTGGAACCCCAGGGGCCAGCCAGGTTAAGTGAAACGAAGTTCACATGTCTGAAAGAGTTTACAGATATACTTTTACATTTTTTTTTTTTTTTTTTTGAATTGAGAAGTGGCCTTCTAAAGAAAGAAAAAATTCTCTTAACTGAAAAGGACTAATCCTTTTAGGGAGTTTGCTAACGTGGGCATACATTTTTTTCTTTGGCAGTTCTTTTTTTCTTCTTCCTCGAATCTCCCTCAGATAATCTTATCTCAATTTTGAGTCAGAAATCTTATTTATAGCTTTTCTAAAGAGAATTATTTCCATGAGGGCAGATTCTTTACCCTTTGGACTTATTTTCTTTTTAAAAACAGATAAGTTATCCCTCCTTTTTCTCGAGAGAGACAGTTAAATTATTAATTGAGAAACAATGATTGTGAGCTAAAAGGGGGCGTAAATCAAAGGAGGAGGAAGAAATTCAGCTGACTTCCTGTTTTTGTGTTTCTTTTTCTTTTTTTTGGAGGGAAAGTAAAAATGCCAAAGTTCCATCTTTCCCTCAGGACTGGAAGAGAGCTTCACACAGCTTACATCCTTAACAGACCTGGAATCAAGTGGGGAATGGTGTGGTCTTCTCATGCTCTTTCCTCCACCTCTACCTCCCTTCCCTCCGCCATATCTGATTTAGAGGAACAGCTTGGCGTTCAAGACTCTGAGATAAGCTGGTCATACATACTTTTAATAGCTATAGTAATTGTAGTTCCTCTTGCCTGCACGCTACTATGTGCATTACAGTGTGTTGTGGGCTTACAAACTTTCTCACAGCAGCCTCACTTCTTGCTGTTATCTCAAGTTCAACAATAAGGAAACTGTGGCTCAGAGGCTCTCTCAGCTAGAAAGGCAGCTGAGCCTGGTCTTGAAGCCCATCTGAGTCCTAGGCCTGTGTGCTTTGGTCATTGAGTACTTGTGCTGTAAGAGAAGGCATAGGGGCAGCTCCAGCTGTCCCAGTATTCTTGTGAAATGCTCTGCTGTCCTGGCCCCATGGGCACCGTGGCGCCTGATGACGGTTTTAGTACTGGTGATGCCAGCCGTCCCAGGGCATGTGTGGTGTAGAGCTTGGATGAGATGATATCTGAAGCCTCTTCAAGCTTTAGCATACTCTGGACCTTAGGAAAAGGAACTGTCACCAATATTCTGAAGGCATGAGGAGGGCATCTAGACCAAGGCGCAGAATCAGTCCCTGTCTCTGGATAAGTTCTTTCTGCATCACTCTGGCGGGATGGCTGGTCCTCCAGTTTGATCACTGCCAGCATCAGAAAGGCAAAGCTCATTCCTAAAGAGGCCAGGGGATCACTGATCAACAGAGCATAGCTCTCAGAAAGCTGAAGCGGAAAGTGGATGTAAACAGGGGCCCCAAGAACAAAGAGTCCCAGATTTTTACCCAGAGTCCCTGAATCTAATTCGTAGGGTTGTTGAAGAGTAGATGAATCAATACAAGTGAAATGCTTGACGTGGTGCTTAACACGTTAGTAAGGATTCAGTAACATTGGCTGCTATTTATTATTACATGGGCCCAAGGCAATGGCCCAAATTCCACCCCAGTTCCCTTAACTCCCACCGATTCAGTGTTTCTGAGGGGTCCTGTATCATTATCAAGTATGCACTGTATGAATCACTCATCAACATCCTGATACTTTGTGGAGAAAGCTTGTGGAACCCACTCCACTGAGAAATAGTTTTAAAACTAATTTCAAACATTTAAAAATTAATAGCAGGCTGTAGTGAAAGAATTCAAACCTGACTGAAAAGTATAAAGCTACGAAGTAAGGCTTCCTCCCACTCTCCCCCGAATTCCCAGTCCCATTTCTTTTTTTTTTTTTTTTTTTCCTTGCCGTCCGCGGGCCTCTTACTGTTGCAGCCTCTCCCGTTGCGGAGCACAGGCTCCGGACGTGCAGGCTCAGCGGCCATGGCTCATGAGCCCAGCACGAACCCGTGTCCCCTGCATTGGCAGGCGGACTCTCAACCACTGCGCCACCAGGGAAGCGCCCCCCCCAGTCCCATTTCTTAAAGGTCAAAATGGTTACCATTTTCTTGGCTGTCCTTCCAGAACTTTAAAAAATGCATATGCAAATGTAATGGAGTTGAAAACACTACCTCTGAGATGTGCTAGAAAATGTAATGTCTTTTTTATTAATTAGCTAGTCTTGTTCCTCCTTGCCTCCTTCCTGGAGGGGGAAATAGACTTGGATTCAAGCCCTGGCTTCTTCACGTTCTCTGCTTTGGGTTTGGTTGGGCCAGTTGTGGGCTGGTGTTTATTGACGAAGTCTGTGGCTGGTGAACTTGTAGGCAGTTCTCTTGGTGGAAACATGGTCCAGATTATAAATCACGACACACGTCTACTGTCGCCTGTCTGCTGTCACGACTGCTTCTTGCAACATCTTCCTGAGAGTCAAGGACAGCTTGGAGTGCCCTCCTGCAGCTCAGGTGTGCCAGTGTTACTGTGCTGTCGCAATTTCAGGTCACGACAGAGTCTCTGGGTGTGGATGTCCCCCTGCCCTCCAAGAGTTCCTGGCGGGAAGTGTAGTGCCTGCTCTGAGCGGCTTTTGCTTTCCCCCTAAAGTGCAGAGCTCTGTCGTCCTTCACCTTTGTGGAATTTCAGCCCAGTGTGGAGGATGAGAATCCATGATGCCAACAAGCATCTTCTTTCTCCTTCTCGTACTTCCCCAAAGGCAGCAGGGTGGGTGGGGCTCCTCTTACATTCTCTTCTCCTCATGCCCTACTCCTCCCATCACCTGAGGTCAGAGTAGTGGAATGGCTGCCGGGAAGGAAATAGAAAGCATATTCTCAGAACATTGTATCCACGGCATAAGTCAGTTTGTCTGTCAGTCATTCTGGCCACTCATTCATTCATTTAACTTTACAAAGTGTTTTGCAACTTGTTTTTTCACTGATCAATGGCCCTTGATAATCTTTCCATTGCAGCACTTACAAGAGTATCTACCTCATCCCTTCTAATTCCGTTGTATGGCTCTATCAAGATTTATTTAGTCATTTTCTTATTGATTGAGTAGATTATTTATGTTTGTGTAACTATGTCTGAAAAACACTTCACGCTCTCTGCTCACATTTTCTTTCCTCTCCCTTTGCAAAGTCCTTTACTTGTCACCTAGTACATAAGCAACAGTCTGCCTGTCAAGGGCTTCTCTTTCCTTGTGAGTCCTCCAGCTGCTAGCTGCTGCCCATTCTTCCTTTATAGTACTTGTTATCCTTTGCTTGACTATTTTGACAACAGAAACATGGGATTGTGGTTTCAGGGGAAGGAGCGGCAGCAATGTCATATGAGTGTTCAAATCCCCAGGTGCATATTTTTTTCAGTAAGTGCATATTCGGTGTCCCAAGTAAGAGAAGCACATTTTCGGAAAGGATAAGCATTTCTTCTTCTTTGCCCAGAGAGAAGAGAGGAGACTAGAATTATATGGCTGACCAGTTAGGGTAAACCTGCGTATAGTAGCTTTTACAATTTGAAGTTTTATTCTCTTATATAGAAAAGGTCTGAAAGTAGGTGGTGATCCAAGGCTCATATGGTGGCTCCCTGAAGTTTTCAGGACTTTCTGCTCCGTCTATGTATGTTACACCCACAGCATGTAGTTTCTATCCTCAGGTTCTATCCTCAGGTCCTCAAGATGGCTGCTGGAGCTTCCTGCATCACATCCTGTTCCAGGCAGGCAAAAGTAGAAGGTACAGGACAAATGAGGCATGTTTCAGTTGTCTACCTTTGTAGGAGCTTCCTTTATATCCCACATAACACTTATATTTATATCTCATTGGCCAAAATTTGTCATATGGCTATACCTAGCCACACTGGGGTCCTGTTAGTAGGGAACAAGGAAAGAGTTGATACTGGAGAGGCAACTCGCTGTCTCTGTCTCATGTGGTTTGATCCATGGCTTGGATTTCTCATTTCACCAAGTGCTGACACATGGAATAGTAGTTGCTGCTCACAGCAGAGATGTGAAGTAACTTTGGTTTCTTTGCTCTTTCCCATCATCTGAGTTTCTGCCTTGTTCCTCCTAAGGATCTCATCACAAACTGTTCCTTCCTGAATGAGCAGGGAACTCTGGTGAAGCGTATCACACGTTCAAGATTTCTTTTCCCCAACCTTCCCTTCAAAACTTACATGTTCTGTGTCTCCTCTCTGCTGGGCACAATTAGGCAGCGGGTTTACTCACTGAAACAATATGAGCTGAGGAGCTAGGAATCAGTAGTTTAACATTCCGATTCCAGTTCCCAATGCCCTCCTTACATTTCCAAATTCTTAACCTCCAACGGTGCTGAATCCCCTTCCTTGTATCCTTTAATGAGTCCGGACATTTGCACAACAGCCTCTTCTGCCTCAAGTGTCCTCCTCATCCCTGTATCCCTTCTCCAGCCCCGTCCCTAGCAAATACTGCTCATTTTAAATGACCCAATTCAAACGTCACTCCTGCAAGAAGCCTTTTCTAATTCCTTGGCATTGATATCCTCCTGTCTGAGCTCACAGAGTCCCTCAAGTGCCCTGCTGTCAGAGTTTATCGCGCTGAGTCATCAGTGTTAATGTATGGGGTGCCTTCCCCCACCAAATGCTGAGCTCCTTGAGGGCAGGGCAGTGAATTTACCACTCACCTCTTATGTCTAGAAGGATCCTTTTTACTGTTTGTCGAATGAATGAATGACAACGTTCAGTGCTTTGATCCAGAGAGAGAGTAAGTATGAATTTCCTTGATGGAGAGACCTTTTGTTGACGGGAGATCGTCACACAACCATATCATGATGATGGCATCTTCCTGCTTCATCAAAGCACAAAGCATGCCTGGAATTGCTGCGATATTAAACTTCTTAATGGTGTCTCTGTGGTCAGCATTGTCAAGGGAGAAGGTCTTAGTCTGTGCAGCTGAAAGGATTCGTGAAACTCCATCAGCCACTTGAATAAAATGCTGGGCTTTCTATAATGGTTTATTTTTGAATAGGAACAGGTCTGTAGCACTAATCCTGTTTGAATCCTGGGGCTCTGTTTAGCAGAAAGATGAGCTGGAGACCTCAAGTTACATTTGTTGTTAAAGTTTGACCCCACACTTGGTGTAAGTGTTTGTCATGCTTGACTTTGCTTAAGTAATTAACATTCCTGTCAAGGCTCCTTAAAGGGGCTTGTGTTAGAGAGCCCCCTCCAAAGACTGGTTTAAACCTTTGAACTTCTAGCCTTTCCGTTTATTGCCAATTACTGATATGCTTAAGTTTCATTTTTCTAAAAAAAATACAAAAAAGGATTAGATCTTCTGGGAGAAATGTTTGTTATTAGGAGAAGCAAAAGCTTGGAAAGTGGGGCAATTTCAGAATGAAGGGGTTAGCCTAAAAGTGGTTTAGAGAATGTGCTGGGGGAAAAAAGTCTAAAAATACTTTTTTAAGTTAGGAAAAGAGAAGAATTAATGTGAATGTGACAACAGCTTTCAAATATTTTAGTGACTGTCTGCAGGCAAAGCAATTTGATGCACCAGAGGGCCGAGTTAGCATTTAATTACCTCCCTCTTTTCTTTCTTCCCTTTCATCTTTCTTCCTCTCTCCTTTTCCTTCTCTTCCTTTACTTTCCTTCCTCCCTCCCTCCTTCCTTCAATCCTTCCCTCCTTTTCTTCATTCCTTTCTTTCCTTTTAAAACATTGACATTACAGTCTGAATTCAGTTCCTATTAGGTGCCTTTAGGATTCTAAGGTCTGTGAGAGTAGGAGATGGATCTCACTTGTTAATAGAGGTCCTCTTGAACGAAGGAAGGAAGGAATGGCTGCTCAAATGTGCCAAGCACTGGGAATACTCAAACGAAAGACGTAAAGGAGAAGGGAAAGGTAACACAGTTCACTTCAACGTAGAGACATAAGCACATGGAGATGTACACACAGGGGCTGCTAAGGGAGCAGAAGGAGAGTGCAGCATCCACTCCTAGCTGTGGAAGGAGGAAGGAGCTGGGGGCAGAAAAGCCTCCTAGAGTTGGTGATGACCTAACTGTGTCTTGAATAATGATCAAGTGACGTTCAGATAGGCGCGTGGAGAGAGTGCCTTAGGTAGGACCAAGCAAGAGGAAAGACGTGGAGGTGAGAGTATCGTGACATAGGCTGTGATCCAGACTATCTCTGTGCTGTCTGTGGGCAGGTCCGGGGCAGGGGTGGTGGGTCATGGTGCTTGGAGAGGTCAGTGGGGCCACACGATATATGGCAAGTGAATGAATGCAGGTTCTGTCTGGATGTGATGGGACACGTGATGGATTTAAAGCAGGAAGCTCAAGGGTGTCTTTGAGGAGAAAAAGAAAATTCAGAAGTTGTTCATTAGACCAGAATGAGATGGTTCAATAAAACCCGGTGAAGGCCCGAACTTGGATATGGTAGAGGGTAGAGGGAGGGGATGGATTTGAGAAATATTGGGACTTGTTGCCTAATCACATGGGCTGACTGGTTAGATAATAGTGCCTTGCATACTAGACAGTGAGGTTCTTAATAATAGGTGCCACGTATTATCTTTATACCCTTAATACCTAGGTCAGTATCTGGTTACCTAGTAAAGTTTAAATCTCAATAATGTTTGTGTAATGAATGCTTTAATTAATTAATTATCTAATTATAGTAACCTACATACCGTATGTGTCAAAGGGTGCTAGTTGCCTCCCAGTATCTTTTCCTCTTTTAGAAAAAGAACTCTGATTTGTAACTGCATACGTTGCCTCCCAGGTAAAAAAAATATACATTTCCCAGTTGCCTTTACAGCTAGGTGTGGTCATGTGACTAATTCCTAGCCAATGAGATCCAAGTGTAAGTGCTACTTGGAACTTAAAGGAAGACTTCTAAGAGGAGGAAGCACCGTTGATTCCTTCCCTTCCACTCTCTGCTTTTTCCGTCCAGTTATCTAGAATGCAGATTCAGTGCCTGGAGTACCAGTATCCATCTTTCTAAGGATGGTAGAGCAGTAAGATGGATGGAATCTGGGTCCCTTCTGTAAAAACTGACATTACAGCCTGAATTCAGTTTTTCATTTCACCCATTCTTTATCACATATTTGAGTTTTATTAGATGTTCAGTGCTATGCCAGGAGCAGGGGAATAAAATAATTAAATCACACTTCTTGTCCCATAAGGAACTTACGGTTGACCTTTGAGGGTTCTGAAGGAAACATTTCCTTCCCTTCCTAATTTCTGAGGTGATGTAAATCAACTTGTGGATTTCATCAGTTTGTGTGAAATTAGTTGTGCTAATTCACGGGAAGCTTGGACCCTCAGCAGTGGGGCACTTTTGATTGTTCACCCATGCAGTGTCAGTAACACGTGGTGGTCTGATTTCCGTTGTGATTCCTGGTTTCTGAATGTGTGGTCGTGCACTTCACCTCCTGAGTCTGAGCACCTCGATGTGTGGGCTAGAGGCATGACATGAAGCTCTTTTTAAAACAAGATGAGTTTCTCAGCTGGGCAT